GGGGTGCCACCCGTTTTGCATTTTTGTAATTTTCAGCAGGCAAGTTGCAAAAGTTGTTGACATCAGAAAAAGTGGTTTTTCACAATATGAAGCAATGTATTCATATTTATTGGCGTTTTTAGCCTTTCCCATCAAATACTTTAATCAATTTACATTGAAAGGCCTTCATGAACACATATGATATGAAAGCACAAAATGTGCAAAACAAAAAACACGTTCACAGTGCGCACAACGAATATAAAGAATATCTTCGCAGCCGTCTACACTACATGCTCCCATCAAATCGAGTGTTTTCAGGGTAAAGGGGTTTTAGTGCCAATAAATGTGAATATATAGCTTCATATTGTGAAAATCAACTTTTTTTGAAGTCTACAGGTTTTGCAACTTGCCTTCAAAAATTTACAAAAATGCAAAACGGGTGCCATCCCAGAGGAATCGAACCCAGGACGTCCAACTCCGCAGTCCAAGCCACTATCCACTGCACCAAAAATCCTTTATAACTCCTCCAGAATGACGTCATAGCAGATATGGAATGCGGTTTAGAGATCACCGTCTGTGGCCGTATTCATCAACGAAACCCAGTGGGTTATTCTACCCAGTGGGTAGCCTCAACCCACGAAACCGGTATTCACGAAGCTGCTGGGTAAGCGAACTCAGTGGTTAAGTCTACCGCTGGGTCGGCTAACCCATAAAATGCCGCCATACCGGTATTCAGGAACAGCTTCGATGGGGTAGCCTACCCAATACCGGTATTCAAGAAACTCCTTACCCAGAAACCGTGGGTTCCGATACCCACTTTTCGTGGGTAACTTCCTACCCAAGCACACATCGAGAATCGCAATGGGTAACAAAGGATTGTGGCCTTTCCTTCAAACGCTGTAGAAGTTTCAGAAAGAAGCAATGGCTACTGGCCGTAGTATGTCATATTAGAAATGCTAATGTTCCTGCTTGGATACTAGAGCCTTTTTTCATGAAACCGTCAAAAAAAGGTTTCATAGCAGAGAACCAATTTACTAATTCAATGAAAAAAATCGAAACGTTAGGCTGAACAAAAGTTCTGTCGTTTTGATTTCGAAAAATTCATAGCTGCTCCCTACGTAAATGTAATTGCTCGTGAGGAAGTAAAGAGAAAACCAGTTATCTCCTAAAACATCTTCGAAGCTCAGGGCGACAAGAAACTCTATACATAGAAGTTCGAATAAGAGAACCACCCTAACTCTGAAAATCATTTGTTAAAAATCTCAAACGCTGCAAAAGAATTCAAGGCAGTTCTTGAGTTCACGTAAGCTGCTCTCTATGAAAGTGCTACTTTATGCTGGTTGATCTATGAAAAATCATAATTTTCAAGGAAAATGCAAAAAAATGTAAAAAAAATTTTTTGTCGATTTTTGCATTTTCCTCGAAAAACAACTTTGTACAGAAAAGCTCAATCAGCACAAATTCGGGTCTATTAGAAAGTACAACTTACACTGGCTTCAACAAACATGTCTTCAGATTTTTCTGCCCGTATTTGTGACAATTCATTTTCGAAAATCAAAAGTTGGGATGGTTTTCTTATTCAGATTTTAATCGGCAGAGTCCCTTTCTATCAAGAGTTGCGAAGATGTTTGTAGAAAGTAGATGAATTTTTCTTCCTGAAGAAGTTTTTTGTAAGCAATTATGTTCACATAGGGAGCAGTTACGAATTTTTAAAATAAAAGGGACTGAACTTTCGGTTCAAGCTACCCTAATTTCACGCGTACAAGGCGCACCTTTTTCGATTTTTCAAATAAGCCGCTCAACCGCTTCAATGTGTCGAAAAGCGAACCTCAAACCGTTCAATTCTAATACGAAGCACGGTATAGGGTTCTTTGCTCGCGAAGTGTTGTGGCGTGTTTGGGCTGGCGGATTTTAGAAAAAATCCCCTGCGCCTTGTACGCGTGAAATGAGGGTAATTAACGTCACCATTCTCCGAAAAATTCAAGACCTTTTCAAAGTGAAAATTGACATTTTTGCAAACAAAAAACTCTTTGCTATGGAGTTCATCAATGCTAGCTCATCTTAGAGATTTTCTAATACTACTGCAATTACGTAGAAACATCGTATACGAAACTGTATGTCAATCACTTGTAAATTTAGTGCTCTATTCATGCAAAAAAAATGTTCTGTTTCTCTCGCACTCAAATAGATTAGGCTACTTTAAGTGTTCAAAATGCTTTTTTTCCCTCCTTCATCCGAAAGCTTGAGCCCCTTTGAAACACTTGCAGAACCACGACTGCAATAAAAATGTGTAATTCTGTAAGGCTTTAGGCGCCTTATCCCATGTATGTTATTACAAGTTTCCCACATCTTCGAAGTTCGAACTCGAAAAACCAATCCCCTTCCACTTTTACGAATCTGAATTTTGCATGGTACCAGATCATGTCAATTTTAGAAATACGGAAGCCTTCAAACAATGATTCAGTCCCGCGGTCGAATCAAACTGTTAGCTTGCATGTTAAAAGACTCAAACCTACGCGAGAATTTTGATGAGAATTTCGAGGGCCACTGCTGAGTTCCGCAGCGGAGGCGTTTGTGAATATGTATTAGGTCGTGTAATAAGTTCTGTCCCATTTTTTGTTTTAGTTTTTTCATGACAACATTGACCTAATTTGAGATAAAGTGTATATGCTTCTGAAAGCTCCAAGTCTGCTCTGCAAGCTCATAGGCAACATTCCCGAGCATAGCAAGAACTTGAAAAAGATTTTTATCATTGAAACAAAAAATTCAAAGAGCCGAAAAATCAATTTTCGACACCTTTTTTCCTCCAAAATTTTCTCGCTTTTCGTTGGTTAAACTTATTAAACAAAACTGACAACAAGCAAAACAATCTATTAGACTCTACGCTTCATTCTATCACTGTTTGCGCTTGTTCCCTTCCTTCCACCGACTATTTGATGTCATTTTTTCAAAAGTCGGCAAAGCAAGACTTTGTTCACGCCTTTGTTCGCCATCTCGCGTGCCCAAGCTGTGTGGCTCCCAAGATTCGAATTTTGAGTATTTAGCCTAAGAATTCGTTAATTTTGGAGCCACAAACCATTCCTTCTGTCTTTTCTAAACGATCCGCCTACCGTCCTCCCTCAGGATGCCTTCAGATGATGCCAAACGTCAACGTTGAAAAGGCGTTAAAAAGAAGACTTTTCTAAAGTTTACAGAAATGATTTTTGAAAAGTTTTGGCAGTCCCGAAGCGCAGTAGAAGCTATAGCAATCTTTGCTTACGTGTGGCAAATTTTTCGAGCTCATTCGTAGGTATTCTGACTAATTGGAGGGCGACGTAACGTAGTTGTCGAAAATGGATTTTTTCTTGTTTGATTTTCCAGACTTGACGCTGTAAAACACTTTTAAGTCTTCTGATGTAAGAAACCGAAGTGGAAGTTTTAGTAGAGAAGGCTTAGAGCTTCAAATGCATATAAACAATTTGCAGAACATTGCGCAAAGCATTAAGAAAAAATCGAAAGAAAAAATGGGACACAACTTATTACACAACCTAATAGTAGAGATATTGCACACAAATAGTTGTGAAGAACTACAAAAACGATGCAAGGGCACAGCAAGGATGCCAGTACGTGCTTTAAATAGACGTCAATGAGCACCCTGCTGACGTCAGCGCTGCTGGGTAAGCTAACCCAGCGGCAGAGGCGTTCGTGAATACCGATCATGGGTAAGCTTACCCATTGGGTAAGCGAACCCATGGGTAAGTTTACCCACTGGGGAGCGGAACCCACTGGGTAACGTTGATGAATACGGCCACTGGGGACGTTATACGCGGTACACACCGCTTACGCAATCGTCACTGCGATCAAGTATCCTTCCCTTGTTAGAGCATTGGGTCGCGCGGGCGGGCTGCGAAGTAGCCTTTCCGTGCGTGCGAGCAGCATAATCATAGGGGTCACTCAAGCCTCCGCGAAAGCGCCCACATGAGTATCAGCATGCGAGCGGGCAACCAAGTTTTTTCTGCGGCAGTGCGTGAAGTAATGTCGCAATGACGCGCACTTACGGATTGTTCAAAAGAAAAAGACATGGTTATTGAGAGACTAAACTTCTTAACCTTTCTTTCTCATTTTGTTGTTGTTGTTTTGATTGAGCAAAAGTTTGTTTTCTTGCAACCTCTTTTAGCTCATGCAGGTCCTTTCTTGTGTTGTATTTGTCATCGTTTTGAGTTCTATATGCTAAATAGTCCAATCCCAGGGAACAACTCTGGGGGATGCACGATAACAACATGACCGGTCTGCAGGAGACTTATGCGGCCGCGTTTTTGATTTTACGGTTATTTTGATGCCTTAGATGACACATACCATAATAAATCCGCTTGATCCACTTCATCCACTTCGCTATTTGTCAAATCAGTGAACTGACCAAATGCGAAGTGGTGAAGTGGCTCAAGCGAAGTGGATTAGTGGCGTGTGCCACTGATATAGGGTTGACTCGAACATATGCTCTTTTATGTAGACATTTTACATCAGAATATTCCTGAGAAGAAATTACCTGGTGGAAATCCTCGAACAGTGGCGGATGCTTCAAACTTCCTGCCAGCGCGTGGTTATTAGATTTTACACAGCCTACAAGGTGTTCTTGCCTTGCACTCCTTGCTTGCATCATCAAATCACTTTTATCTGTGTTCTTTGCTCAACATAACTCTCAGTGCTTGCAGCACTCAAACAAATCATTAGAGCTTTCTATGATATCAGTTGACATCGCCATATTATGTTACGCTATGAGCACACGAAAGCACAAGACTAGCACGCAACGGCATCGAATTGACATTACACACACAAGCCTGGGCGCACTGCGTCATTGTAACGCCCCACATTTTTCGATTTATTGGACGTCTTCTTTTATTCCACTCTTACATGTACTTGATGTGTCTCGGAATGTTGCCCTCTCTTCGTCACCAAAATTGAAGTTATTCGCGTTATTTGGACAGCTGTTACTCTTAGATCTTATACTACATACATGTTGTTCTAGCTGCCATTTTTTTTCCAGATGGTAGTATGGCCAACGGATTGGGAAATGGACCACGACAGCCTCATAAGCGCTGGTGGTGCGCTACAGAAGCTGAAGATGTATCCTTACTTTGATGTGGCCCATTATCTTCTGGTAAGTCAATCATCAGTTTAGTTTGAGTAACATTGATTTCTACCTTTTTGTATGTCTGAATCAGTTTTTTTACTAATACTTGGTCAGCAAAAAACGCATCTTTAATGTATAGCAAGAGTAGAAAATGAGTTTTGAATTTTTCTGTTCGCCTCTTTTTTTTCTTTGGCTCCTAGTTCCTGTTTAACGTTTTCTTCCGCGGATTCAGAACAGTTTTATATAAATGAATGTGCTATCTGATGGCTACGTATAATTCTTAGAGATAAAGAAGTTGAAGATATTCGTGATTCAGATGTGCGAATCCGTTCGTGCTGACCTCGGACCATCGTCACTACCATTCTCTCGACGTCATCCATTTTCATGCTGGTTATCATCGATGTTGATGTGCTTTGCAGGAAGTATCCTCGCTTGCTTTCTGCTTGGAGAACCAGTCATCACACCATTCAGAAGACATGATGACGTCGTTTTGGTTAGTTTTTGGAATTACACACTACAACAGATATTTAACATTTTTTCCAATTATATTTCGTTCTTTTTTAGGCATCCATGGTATGGTATTCAGTTTTCTATTCACCATTTGATATCGTTCATAAACTTATCTCTCTGAAACCAATCAAAGTAGTGGTCAGTATAGCTAAGGAGGTGCAAAGAGCCCACAAGGTGAGCAGCATTTATTCTATCTTAGACTTGCATTTTTTTTAACCTTGATTTCGATGTCATCCTCCTTTTCGTGTGGTTAATGTTTGGTTCTAGCGTACCAGCTTTTTGTCCTGTAAAGACTAGTTCAAGGTTACAGAAAAGAGATTTGTAAAGGAAAACATTGCGTTAAGTCCGTCCAGGAACTTATTTTGTTTGCATACCTCTCGTTGATATCCCTTGCCCACTTCAGAGAAACATATCAAGGATGCCGTAGTGTTGAGCACTTTGGCGTTTACTTGATGATGCATTGTTGACCCGGAAAGCTCTTCTTTTGTGTTGACCTTACGGGTGTTTTGCTGTATCGTACATATTTTGTGTAAAAGAATCAACTTACTGTCTGGTCATCTAGCTAGCAAACCTAATATGGGGGGGGGGGGGGAGGGGGGTAGAACATGAGTATTCATGCAGCGTATCATCCGGATTTTCTGGTCGTCTTCAATTAATCATGCACTCTGCATACAGATTGGCCGGAACGTTGGTGAACACCTTTGCTTAGTCAGTGATACTTCATCACTATATGACGTTTCATGCCGCATCTACCCATCTATGTTTTGTTTCATTTTGAATGGCCAGTCCATGATTTTGTTTTTGTTTTTGTTGTCGTGATAGTCATATTTGCAAGTCATTCACACTATTTCCACCGCTCTGCCTTGCATCGACTGATTTTTCCGAGCTTCAAATGGGCACTCCTAATTTTTTACGTTACGTGCAAATTGAATACAGTAGGCACTTCAGCATAACTTTCACTGCTTTGCTACCGTGCATTAATTTGATCGTCTCCCAGGAAAATCTTCAGGTCCTGCAATTTTGCTTTCCAGAATGAATTTACCTTGAATAGTTACAAGGATCTTTCTGCCTCTTTTGAGCAGAAAGTGTTAATTAGAGTGTTAATTTTACAAAGTATACTATAGTGTTTTTACCGTTACCGTTTTGCCTTGATGTGCTCTTTTTTACCGAATTTGAATGGAAAGGGGCCGCTAACCGTAAGCGAATTGCGCGTATTAGCATATAGTCAGGCACTGTCTTTTTCCTCGTAATTTGAATTATTATGCACTTTCAGTGGCTCTCTCATAATTATCAATTTTTCTCATGCATCTTCTGAAGATCATCTTTGCTTTTATTAAGAGGCTGTTTATAGATCTCTCATGGAGTTGCATACGCTGCCAAACTCTACCCAGAGTCATATATGGTCCAAGTATTAGTTGGAGTAGCTAGGGGAGCCGGATCAGGAGTGCTCAAAATCGTGGAACAGGTCGGCTATCAAATTTTTCTGGTTGTGTGTTGTATGTCACAACATGATTATTTTTACAGCTGGTTAGAGGAACATGGATGCCATCACAGCATGAAATGTTGCGTCCATCGTTTACTACCAAAGCCTGTGTGATAGCTGCTCTAGTTTTCACCCTAGAGAGAAACAGTATGTATGTAACAGCACCACACGATCTTGTCTACTTGGTGAGTCGTTTACCTTTGTTTTCCTTGACCTCTCCGCATTTTGACTTTCACTCGTGTTTGTGTTTTTGATTCGAAGGTAGAATCGCAAATGAATCTTTAATATTCTGCAGTGATTTTTTTCAGTGTGTTGTTGGATTCTTTTCCTATTTCAAATTATCGGCTCTTTTGCTCGGCGTTATCGATCCATCGGCTCCCATCGAAAACCTATTCTGTGCTCTTTTCATGGGCGGTATATGCGACGCGTTGCACAAGTGAGTTGTTTTAAGGCAACGGATTCTTTTTTATTTTGAAGTATGAAAATAATACTCAAGTTTTGAACTTTCATCATTGAAGGAATTTGTTTCAGAGCTGTTGATGCAACTAGAGAAGAAGCAAACGCTGGAAGAAAACCAGTGGAAGATGATCTTGTCGACGACAAGAAGTGGAAGAAGACCGAAAAGAAAAACAAATGAACTTTTCATTTGCGAATCTGTTTGACCACCAAAGAACACTCTTGAGGACTACTTTGAGCAAAGATACTCATTAGGTCAGAAAGCATATTAGTCCTATGAAATTTGTCGTAGATGTGCGTGCAAATCGAATTTCTCTCTTTTTTGGTTGTCTTTCTAAACTACAGAGTTTTTGAACTTAATCCAGCACTACACAGTTCTACTCTTTAGTTGTTAGCTTCTTTTTTGGGAGGTAGGAATCTCGTGCATAATAATTTTTGCATCTCGCTTTTTCTGCCTTTACGTTGTTGAATTGATATCTTCAGAGGTCTAGTCATAGATTAGCTTTAGTTTGAAGTGCATTATAAGCTTAACACATAGCATAATTTTGAGAAAATCTCATTCGTATAGCTTAGTCTTCACCGTCTGCAATGTTATTGCTTTTCTCCTATCTGATCAAGGAGTTACGAGTCGTATGTGATACTTTTTGTTAGATGTTTCTGTATGTTTCATCTCATGGCTTTGCACCAGAAATGTGCGGGTACTTCACCCAGAAGTAAAATTGAAATAAATGAATTGTGTTTGCCATCAACTGTACCGTCTCTAATATGTCGTGTCACAAGTTACAGTTGTTATATTTGCAGTTCTAGTTTTGCAATCATCTGTATAACTTCTTACCGCTGTGCAGGATATAAATACTCCCGCAGTTCACTGTGGATACATGTTATTTGCTACGATTGAAAAATGTGCGATCCGTGGCTGTGTGTCACTTGACCTTAGAAATTACTTCTCGTATGGGATAAGCATCAAGTAAGTTTCTCAGTACTATATGTTGATATGTTGCCATATCCCCATCTTACGGCAGCGAGCTGCTTGTCTCAATGCCTTTGTTTTACTAGTTTTTTGTTGTTTTCCAAACATGAAAATTTGTGGCCAGGATGTCCATATTTCCTCTGTCAGAATCTTGTGCAGATAGGATTGCTTCATAGCCTTGAGCATTTTCTTATTTTCAGTATTTCTTCCTAAAAGCAGTGCTTTCAGTCGTATTTCTTTTGCCAATTTATTTTTGTATCTCCTTACCGGCTGAACATTTGTAGAATGCTTTTCGGCTTGCTAATCTGGCTCAATGTTGTAAACATGCTAGAGTTCAATGAATTGACAATCATCATAGAATTTGCAGAGTTCGTAAATCACCATCAAAATTCTTGGAAACATGATTTCTACATAGTTGCTCTTCTGGTTAAGGAACAGTAAGATAAAGCCCTTTTAAGCTTGAAAAATCAAAGAACTGCGTTTGCAGTACTCAAAATACTCACAGGGTGATTTGTTGAAGCAGACAGCACATCATATCTTCTGCATCATCGGTACTATCCAGACAGAATACACAACCCAAAAAATTAAAAATCTCGGATTTTGCTGAAACTTTGCATACAGGGGTTATTTGACATGCTGATCACGAAAATCGTACTCATTTTGCATGAAAGGACCATTTTTGTGGGGTTACGGTAGGTATACGGTAGGGGGTCAAAATCACGAATTCGCCTGAAATTTGGTCTAGGGGGGTTATCCGACCCGCTGATCACGAATATCACATCCATTCCTCATCATAGAGCCATATGGTGGGGTTATGGTAGGTGTACGTGTGGGGTCAAAATCTCAAATTCGCCTGAAATTTGCTCTAGGAGGGTTATCCGACCCGCTAATCACGAATATCACATCCGTTCCTCACCATAGAGCCATATGGTGGGGTTACGGTAGGTATACGGTGTGGGGTCAAAATCTCAAATTCGCCTGAAATTTGCTCTAGGAGGGTTATCCGACCCGCTAATTACGAATATCACATCCGTTCCTCACCATAGAGCCATATGGTGGGGTTACGGTAGGTATACGGTGTGGGGTCAAAATCTCAAATTCGCCTGAAATTTAGTCTTGAGGGATTAATTTATCACGAATATTACATTTATTGGTAAAATTGCTTCGAATTAGCCTTGTGTACCCAAGGTGGACCTAAAGAGGGCCGTTGGGACAAGGCTAGGCTGTTAGCAAGTGACTGGGTATAAGTCAGCCACCTGCCTCCAGAAGTTATAGAGCGACTCCTCACGCTTGCCGAACGTCTGCCTCCACAGGAACTCCTTGAGGTAGTCGGCGTAGCGGCTGTTGTTGATGCCGCATTTTTGTTTCGCCATCCTCTTGAATTTCTGCCAGTGGCTTTCGATATGCTGCGTATGGGCACCTGTGTTAGGGTCAACGAAATTCATCTGGTGGTTTACCGTCAAGTGACGGTAACCCTGCGGCAGAGACGCTATCCCGTTGTAGGCACGCCAGCAGTCGCTGACGATGGTAGTCCCCGGGCGAATGTACCTCACAATCAACCTGAGGAGTGTCCTGGCGTCCCGCTGGCGTACCGAAACAAGGAAGGACCTGTCGCTTCCTCGCTCGTATCCTCCAAACAACCATTGGTGGCGGCGTACCACTCGTCCTCGGTTGTACTTTCTCTTCGTCACACAGGTTTCGTCGCTTTCCACGACATGCCTGAAACCTCCTAGGATGGGGCGGTTCCTTCTAAAGTACTCGCAACAGACATCTCGGAAGTACTGCTCCTATTGCACGGTGGTGGTGTGGCCAGTTCCGAGCTCATACTCCTTATCTTCCACTAATCCAAAATTGTGTAGCCAGAAATAAGACAGTGCAAAGATCTTCTGAAGCGGAATTTTGCACTTGGCAAAGAATGAATCTTTGTAGGCTAGCACCATTGGCTTCGTGGCTCCAGTCGGTCCGATGCGACAATCCCTTTTATGGCAATACCAAGCCTTCCTGGGCGCGAAGAGTGTCATCGGATGGCGACATGTGGGACATCTGGGTGTTGCAAGAAGTCCAATTGTTCTGAGCCAGCTCTCGAAATCTTCCTCTTCCATTCTCAGCTTCTCATACACGTCGGCAAGCGTGAAATCACGCAGTTCTTCCTCTAAGCGTCGGAGCGCCAACGTACGGAACACAGCCATATTGCCAAAAACCGTCAGGTTTGAACTAGCACGCTGACTTACGACTACGCTCCGTATATCTTACGCTTTCGAGTATGACGTTCAGCACAGCTAAAGAAAAAATCGCCGACCTTTCTTTGATTCGGCAACTAAGGAAGTTTGAGAGGGGAGGGGGAGAGAGATCATCTCAATGTTGCAGTCAAGAAGAGGCGGGACTTTGGGCGGGGCCGAAAACGTTGTCCACGCCAGTGGATAACCCCACACTTCAATGTCCTCTAGTCTTCGCATTATGTGGTATACCAATTTATTGATGGCCCACCGAATGGGGCTATGGGGAGGAACGGATGCGATATTCGTGATCAGCGGGTCGGATAACCCCCCTAGAGCAAATTTCAGGCGAAGTTGAGATTTTGACCCCACACCGTACACCTACCGTAACCCCAACATATGGCTCTATGATGAGGAATGGATGTTATATTTGTGATCAGCGGGTCGGATAACCCCTCTAGAGCAAATTTCAGGCGAATTTGAGATTTTGACCCCACACCGTACATCTACCGTAACCCCACCATATGGCTCTATGATGAGGAATGGATGTTATATTTGTGATCAGCGGGTCGGATAACCCCTCTAGAGCAAATTTCAGGCGAATTTGAGATTTTGACCCCACACCGTACACCTACCGTAACCCCACCATATGGCTCTATGATGAGGAATGGATGTTATATTCGTGATCAGCGGGTCGGATAACCCCCCTAGAGCAAATTTCAGGCGAATTTGAGATTTTGACCCCACACCGTACACCCACCGTAACCCCACCATATGGCTCTATGATGAGGAATGGATGTTATATTCGTGATCAGCGGGTCGGATAACCCCCCCCCCTAGAGCAAATTTCAGGCGAATTGGAGATTTTGACCCCACACCGTATACCTACCGTAACCCCACAAAAATGGTCCTTTCATGCAAAATGAGAACGATTTTCGTGATCAGCATGTCAAAAACCCCTGTATGCAAAGTTTCAGCAAAATCCGAGATTTTTAATTTTTGGGTTGTGTATTCTGGAATAGCGCCCTCTGTTTTTATAAGACTTGAAAAGCACTGTATCAGCCATTGACAGCTTTCTTCTATCTTTTTTGATTTGCTGAATTTGCTTACTTGGATCGAAAACTGTGCTTTACATCTTCTAAAATATTATAAAATTGTTTTATTTTTTGGTTTTTGGAGATAAGGAGTGCCTAGTGGTGGCGCGTGTAGCCAATAATCAGTCGTCGCTCATGCTGGCGGACCCTGAAAAACATGTCTCCCATTTGATCGTTGATTGGTTAGTGGGCGTCCGCGCCACGCCCTGCCTTATCAGGTTTTGACATGTTTATGTCGTATGTGCACAGTCTTGAATTCACCAAACTTAAAAGATCCAGTGGATAGAAGAGATGATTAAAGAGTTCTGTCTTCTCAATCAACGTTTGATTTATAGCTTTTTTTTTCTGGGAGAAAGAAGGGAGAGAAAAGAACCTAATGGCACCAGTGTCATTTTGCAGAGATGTGAAAACGGACTTGAAACCTTCACTGTTATGCAACAGCTACAACAGGAATTCGAATGTTTTGATCATGCAAGATAACGCACTTTTTCATTGGTAGGTACTACTGCGCTCTATGAGCATTATCGATTGCTCCTGTTCAATTTTCCGCTTGCAGAAGATATCAGGTCCGGCTCAAGTGCAGGATATCGAATTTGTTTGATCATTTGTGTGCATTGATCGCGGGAAATAATGTTGACACGGACGAAAAGAAGGTACGTCTTGAACTCTTTGCTTCTTAGCTAATCTGCAGTATCTTGGCTGATACATCGGTTACAGTGTATTATATTCTATCTTATCTCTGCTAGAAGCTCAGCTACGCGTTCTTCTAGCTCTGAGTGCAGGGCTCTCTGGCGTATTAGTGTTTCCTGCGGTTGTAAAGTTCGGCGGCAGTCCGTTGATGTCTTGCGCCAGCCATCTTACTTCTTCACGCTTGCTAATTCAAAATCGCCGAATCTTGTATCCTACATTTCATAATCACTTATGTAGTTGCCTTTTTCTTAGCAGGATGGCTTTTTTTTTTTGCCCTGCATCGCTGACCCACTTAGAATTTAAATTTCATCCTCTCAGTAGAGGCCCCTAAATAATTCTATATCCAGTATAATCCATGTTGGTGCCTGGCGTAGGACTGTGAAGAAATACTTCTGTCCAATTTGTTGCTTCTGTGCACCTTCAAGCACATTTTCCCACCCACTTTCTATTCGAATGACGACGCTGAAAGAATAAAAATCTTCTTTTTTTTGGTAATCATGACTGTCAGCTTTGATCTTTTCCGAAAATATCCAGCTTTTTTTGTTTCTTTGATCTATTATATCTATTGTTCTTGTAGAGTCTCACTCCAGAATGCATTTCAATGTACTATACTCCTCACAACTTTTGAATCCATGCATGTCTGTCCTTTTCGAATAGATCAAAAGATATATCGTACAGTGGCCAGATGCTGAGGAAATGATCGCTTTTTGCCAGGAGTGTAATATCGTAGAAGAGCTAGAGTACTTGAGCTGTTTCTGAGAACTGCTACTTCAGTGTTTCTTCCGCTAGTGGCTCATACTTGTACCACAGGAATCTAAGAGCCTCTTGCTTTTGTTTCGCTCATGATGCCAGATGTTTCATGAATCGCCATAATAGCTCCATTAGGGTCAACACGCAATTTTGTCAAAAATTTCGACAATGCTTTTAGAATCGATGCCTCTGACTTCAAAGGTCGATTTTTTTATATTTATCTTCCGCGATTTCTTTTTCGAATCAAGGGTTGGCTAAAGGAATATCTTGTATGATGTGTATCTGGAAAATTATAACAGTTTTGGAACTTTTGATGAATTGGGTTTTTCATAGGGCAGTCGAGGTCTCGCTTAAACTCTTGGAAATTTTTCATCACTAGGAAGACATAGACCAAAATCCGTGTTTGCTTGCGTGTTTGCGTGTTGTGCTTGCCATGGATTTTTGGATTATTGCTAATCCTGTCGATTCGATTATCGAAAGTACAGCAAATGTATCCTTCTACGTACTAATCAGTTATACCTACTATAATAAACTTGTTTCTTTTTTTTGGAGCTCAGCTTCTTATGATGAATCATCTATCTCGTCAAAAAAATTTATATTCTCAAAGGAGGTGCTAATCCTTTTTCCCTTAGGCGAATCTAGAGTTAGGTTATCATGCAAAATTTTTCGCAAGCTCTAAGAGATCGAATTGTTCCGAAGCATTTTTACGAACACCTAATTGCCCCAATTCAGTTCTCACTGTCATTTTTGAGAAGTAAAAGATGGGACATTTTTACTATACTCCATCCTGATCATTTCTGATAGCAACCACCTGTTCCTTGATCTCAGCTTATTTTCCAGTAAATCTGTGTAATCAGCCTAATCGATGCGAACACCCCAGCTTTGACATGAGCATCAAGAAGTATGTGCTTTGTGGAAGTCGGCTGCCAACTGCTCTGCGTAGGTTGTAAGCGATAGCTGTCCACACTCATATCTTTTCCGCTTATTCATTTCTTGTTATTTTTGAGTCAAAAATCTGTGCATAACCATCTTTTGCGTTTGTGCCTATAATAAGACTCATTATAGATATAGATGCATATTTCATGTTCAATTTTTACTTAAACTTATCCGTGCTATTTATTCATAGTTAATTTTACATTCATCTTTTCTATTCGTCTTCGTATTTATATTAACCTTTCACATTTTCTATATTTTTTTCGTGTTCAAAGTGCAGCGCAGTCTTTAACCTTTTGTTGTTCATTATTCTTGTCATAACTGAATCTTAGATTGCAACACTTATATTTTGGGTGCACTAAAGGGAGTGCGTAGTAGCAACTGCTTGCTTCTAGAAGTTCTGACACTAAAGCGTTTGCAGAATTGCAAGTTTCTATTCAAAAAAACATCATAGCTATCCAACACTCCGTGCTGTACTAAATGCTCGACGCTGATGCAATTTGTCGCATTCATGCTGTCAAGAATAGGAAAAGCGGAGAAGTGCACGTTCCTCTTTGCTTCTTTGCTTTTGAGAAGAGAGTTAAAAGTTGAGGCGAATTCCATCGGGAAGGGGGGGGGCTTGACCATTTTTACGGTGGATTTTCGGAGAATCGAACCCTCTAATATAAGAGTCATCTTAGCGATAATTTTTCTTCTCCATCGTTTATCTGTGCATCGTTAGTGTTCGGCGCGGTAATTGAGGTCAAATAATACGCTTTTTATTGGACATGAGCCTGCGAGAAATATTCGCCTACATTTCTGGCATTCGGTATTGAGCTGCGGTTAGGAAAAATGACTTTTTCATCTTTCCTCTCTGAAATCAGAGAATTACAACTGCGATTGCTATGGTGAGATAAAAAGTTGCCATCATTCACATTCTGCTCTTTAGTGCTACATTACATCGCTTTATCCAATATTGTAGTCGTCTTTAGAACTCAAAAAAGTTTTCATTTGTATATATCAGCAATTCTGACTATCTAAAATCTGGATTTCATATAACAGTGGCATCGCGCTTTTAGCACTTCCCACGTCTTCCTAAGGTTGCAATCTTTTTGTCAGTGAGGTATCGCATCTTCGAATGTTTTTCAATCGAAGGAGTGTATTTTTCAAACCCCTGAAGTTGTGAACCGTTTTACATTGAAGCAGAGTACTTTTACACTATTGAATTTTTCTCGTCTACACCAACACCTCGAATGTGGGACCAATTTTCGTAGTGAAGTAAATTTTAGCAATGCACTTTCACTATTTCAAAATTGTGATGTTGTAGAGAAGTATGAACTGACTTCAGAATTTACAGATAAATAATGTGGCCCGAAGGGTTACAAATGGATCAAGAAATCCTGCTCGATGCAGGAGCTCAACTGCATCGATTGAAGATGTTTCCATACTTCGACATCGCACATTACATTTTGGTTAGCGCTTGCTGGGTTTGTTAGATAATATTGGTAAAAGATTTTCATTTGATTTAAGATGATCTGTGAAGTACGCGATGATCTGGCGTCATCGGCTGGCCTGTTCTCACGTAAGCATCCACTCTCATGCTGGTTGTCTTCGATGCTGATGTGCTTCGCCGATTCTTTCCTGGCTAACTTCCTGCTTGGCGAACCAGTAATTGCACCATTCAAACGACACGACGATATTCTTCTGGTTAGCATGACAGCAAATAATTTGTAGTCTTGTTTCTAAGAAATTTTTTTAGGCTACAATCGTGTGGTATCTAGTTTTTTATGCACCTTTCGATGGTGTATATAAACTGTCGAAAGTTTTACCTATTAAATGTGTACTGTCAGTGATGAAGGAGGTCAAGAGGGCATACAAAGTAAGCGTAGAGATCTAGAACGCCGTTGATTTGGTTGTCTCAAATTTCGCTGCAGGTTACCCATGGAGTTTCGCATGCAGCTAAACTTTATCCAAGTTCCTACATCGTCCAGATCTTGGTGGGAACTGCGAAGGGAGCTGGATCTGGAATTTTGAAGACAGTAGAACAGGTACGCAATTTCATTCTACAGAAGTAATCTTTCCTTCAATTTTTTTTTACAAATTTTCAGCTTGTGCGTGGCGTGTGGCTCCCAAATCACAATGAAGCTCTTCGACCTACGTTTGCAACCAAGGCCTGTTTGGTGGCATCGATAATTATGGCACTAGAAAAGAACAGCGTTTACATCACAGCACCACACGATATTGTTTATCTGGTAGGTAATCTTCATTTTTTACTTTTTTCGCAAATTTCTTCTCTTTAATTTTTATGATAAGTTTTCCCCTTGTTCAACAAGATTTGTCTAGCTTCTCAAGAATCGATATTTGCGGGTATACTTTTCCAATTATTTTCGTCCGCGCTCAGGACAAAAAAGTAGGACGTATCTGCTTATGCAAGGGCCGCAGGTGCTGTGTAACAGCTTTGCCTCTAATGTATTTGTTTAGGGTCGTAAACACAAAACGTAGTCTCTTGCAGTAAAAAAAGTACATTTTAGTGCGTTGTCGGTTTCTTTGTGTACTTCAAACTCTCGGCAATCTTCCTCAACGTTGTTGATCCGTTTGCGCCGATAGAAAATTTGTTCTGTGCAGTGTTTATGGGAGGAATCTGGGATGCATTATCGAGGTAAGATTGCACGTATTTTTTCTTCTAGGAAAACTTATTTGATATACTGTAGAGCTCTTGCTGCTGCTCGCGAACGACGTGCAGCGGGTCATGCTACAGAGAATGGAACAATTGCAAGTGGAGAGAAAAAGGATCAATAAAACTACAACTAAGCTGGTTAGGAGTTCTATGAAGAGCATGCTAACGCTTCGAATCATTACCCTATGATCTGAGTGTGAATTTTTTTTATTTTATCGACCTTCATCCGATCCTCTGGTCTGTATGCGAACACTGTTTGTGTTGCCCAATGGATGCTCATTGCTCAGCCTTTGCATTTTTTCTATGGCTGCGCTTTATTTCAACATGTACATTTTTTATTTGGAGTGGCCGTGCTTGTATTTTGTACTTGTCATATGATGAAATAAATTTGGCGCAAAAAATATCTGTTTTGTGGAATATGGTGGAAAACCGTACAGTTCTATAGACCTCATTTCTTATAGTTGCAAGTCAAGAAGATGCATTTCGTTTTTTATCAGTGATTCATTGGGTAGGGAATGGTCCCCTGCGTGCCAAATGATACACGAAAGATGCCTTCCGCAAGTCTAGATGAAATTCAGGTTAGGTAGTTTCTTGAACCTCTAGGACTTTTTATTAGCTCAATCATGTGCAAAGGCTGCACAAAGGCCATTCTTATAGCTTGTGTTACTCATTAACAACAAGAAGAAAATGAGAATGTGTGCATTTATTGTAAAGTTCTCAGGTTATGGAAGTTTCTCGATCGAATTTCAACACAATTTGGCCTTACCTGTTGGTTTCTTTGAAAAGTGCAGACTTCATAGCTCTGGATCTGGTGAGCTTGGTTTCGCTCCAGGGTTGGCTTTGAGTTTTTCTCTCCTCAGGAACTCTCCGGTCTGGGGTCGCGAACAGCAAGTGTCGCAAAAAATATTGAAGATCGGTATGCAGCGTTACGCGAAGCTGCAAAAACTAGGTACTCACTAGTCATGAAGAACCAATTTTTTGTGAACAAAATGATATTTAGAGCGATCTTATCACTTGGTCTGGCTTTTTTAAAAAAGGCTGGACAAAATGAGACAAAGAGACGGGTCAAGTTCAACTGCCAGGTTAGCTCGCATTTTGATTTTGCCTTTATTTGGTACTAGCTGCGGTCCCCGATCCCGCCCGGGCCAAGGGTCCAAAATGGCCCATCTGCTTTAAGATGTTTGCTTACCATTCCTCCACTTCCTTCAGATCATGTTTTCTCTTCCTCTCTTGCTCCAGCTCCAAGTCAGTTCCAGCACACGTGTAGTATCCGTGGTGAATTTGTCCTTTTTGACCGGCTCGCTTCGTGACACCGCATCCTCCTCACCGCAAAATGTAAATGATCTCTACCGCCCCTTACTACTTAACTTGGGAAAAATGAATGATATAGCTTTCATTTTCCTAGAAGTAAACAAATCAATAAATCGATAGAAGGACCCAATGAATCGTCGCAAAAAGTAGCCTATCTTCTGCGCCTGGCCTCACTCATAGGGGAGCAAACTTCAGCCTCATCGGTTCACAGACAAAGGAGTCTATAAGCCACATACTTACATACGAACAAATTTACAGAGATTGAGTCTTATTTATATATAGATTTCTAAGTCCAATATCAATCTGATTCTGAGCATTTCTCCACCACTATCTTATTTAGGTTTTCAACATTCTCTGCGTTTGTGCAGAGCCGTTTACTGTAGAACCGGAGGCTCTCGAATTTCTCGCTAAGCATTCATTCGATTTCAATCGATTAATTGATTCGGGTGTACGGTATTATCCTAGTACAGTAGCCAAGGTCAGCTTTCAAGGTTGTTTTGCGACGGTTTAGAGTTTGCTCAATTTCAGGCATGTCCTCTCAGGTCGCTTATTACAGAAATACTATCTACGGGTACACCATTGATTTTGCATAACGGTTTGGTTGATCTTGCTTTCATCTATCATCATTTCTATTCTCCTATTCCTGATAGGTATGAATGCTCTTCATAATATTTGACTCTTTTGATTATCAGCTTACAGTTACGGTGAATTTTGCAATGCTCTTGCCGATCTCTTTCCTCTTGATTCTCCCGTGTGTGACACAAAATATCTGGCTGAATATCAGACACGTATGACTGGCTCCTTTTTGGAATATGTATTTCGAAAATGGTATGTTAGCTTGTTATATCGATAAAATCCTCCCATTGTTGGTATGATTCGAATTTTATAGCAAAAATATGATTTTCAGTCAAGGCGATAACGTTCGCGAAGCATTGGCATCTCGCTGGCATCTAAAAATTGCCTTTGATGACACTTCATCAATGATGGCACCTCTTCGGGACGCATGTGAAAAAGTAAACTGCCAACTCCCACCGGGTTTTCCAGAACATCTTGTTCCCTACGATCTCAAAGGAAAAGTGTGCGAACAATTTTCTGTAGGTGAATTTTTTGTTGGTCGGAAACCGTACCAGCCTAATTTGTTGCAGAACCATGGTTTCTGTCGAAAACAAAGACAAGGGCAATGCGATCTTTTGCATGATGTTGATTATGCTATAGATCTCGAAAATGAAAAATTAGAGAGAAACAGGAAGAAAAGGAAAAGGAGGTATCAGGAGGGTGTTTTTGGATTAAAATAACGCTAATTCAATACCCTCCAGGTATGATTATTTGAAACCCGACAGCATGCTTGAAAAGGAGAGATTAGAAGAAGATGAAAAAGAGTCACGCAAAGGAAAAGTTTCCGTCGAAGAGGTGAAGAAAAACAAACCAAAAATAGCTATAACAGGTAAGTATGAGAATGCTTTCTAACCATACTTGGTAGATTGGTGAAGATTTGTAGGCTGTCATCGAGCTGGAGTGGATGCATTTATGACAGGATATGCAGCTTTGTTTCAAAGTCGCTTGAGCATATGCCGAGATGGAAAATTGGATGATCAGGTGAAAAAGGCGATAGTGAAATTATGTCATTGAGAATCCTACCCAAATTCAGCATCTGAACCGGATATCCCTATCCGGTAAGGCGGAACCATTCGTCATACAACGGACGCAGTTTGCTGGAAGCTGTTCAAAACACGAGAATCGTTTTGCTTCAATCAAATCGGCTCGACTAAAATCTGCGTTGCAAAAAGAAGCAATGAACACTTGATTAAAAAACAGTTTGAAATTATGCCAATACATGAGCTTGTTGTTTTTCATAATTTTGTAAATTTGTTGTGCAGTTTAGCGATCTCTACATTGGCAATAAATTTGTACGGGATTGATAAATGAAATATTCTCGAGCATTTACAAGTCCTGACCGCAAGATCTCGATAGAAGGTAACTGACCACAAATCATAGATTTGTGTGAGCAGTATTCAAGCAAACCTGACCATCTGAAGTTTTCGTGGACTGGGGAGACTCGACAAAGCCAGTACTTGGACAGAGCTCATTTATTTTTGACCAAAAGTACAACCGAACCTTTCCCAGAACCGTATCTTAAGACTTCCGCTGAAAGAATACGGGCGCACTTGATGTTGAATTTTTTCACCATGAATGGATGATGTGAGCTACTGCACAAGCAGTGGTAGAACTTCCTAATCAATCTATACCTGAGTGCTTACTTATCCACATTTGCTGGGCATTGCCACATCCAAAAAAAGATACAACAGATTTTTTCAAGTTGCCAGTGCTAAATCCGTACGAGACCTTTCCTGAATCAAAACCGCTCACCAAATTAATCCCTGGAAAAGGTTCCTTTATTTGGATTTGCACGACAGAAACAAAACAATGTAGTGCTTGACTCAAGTCAATCCCATTCTAAACTTTTGGACACTCATGGAAGGCGTTCCTCGGATCGAACGGACCAAGAAGGATCAGTCTGTCTATCCGTCTTCTGACTTCACCATTACTTCAGCTGTTTTACAGCAGCAAAGAAGCAAATCCAGGAAGCATACGGGGCACCTTGTCACCGAGGGCAGCGATGCCACGAGTCACTGGTGGAGCCGATGCTTCGTCTACAGCAGCAATAATAGAGACTTACCAAGAACTTCTGAAAAGTCGTGTTATTGGAGAGACTCCTAACGGAGAGATTTTGTGTTATCCAAGGTATATTGCTTTTACACAGACAGAGTTGAATCGCTGACACAGAAGCATACCATCCGCAGCCCCTATGAGGGTGCGGTAGCGGCGCGGCTGCACATTGAAAGCTTAGCTTTTTCAGATGGTTAATATTCAACTCACCCAACGGCTACAAAAAACCATGCTACGGTGATTTCACCATTACTAACAAGGACCCATTTACGGTAGCTTGGTGTATAAAAGCAAAAGTGGGAGCATCACCTACTAATCTTGTTCATCCACAACTGCGATTTGTGATTTACAGGAGAAAATGATGCGATTGTCGCAGTCTCACGGCATATTGAAAGCTGGAGAGCATATAGATCTGACCGTGAGATTAGCTGTTCCATTTAGCTAGACCGAATATGAATATGTGAAGTTACAGCTGTATCTGATCTCATCGGACGATTGGCCTCGTGATGTGATTGAGTATACAGGCAGAAGGCTGAAAATTGTGGTTGAAAACCTTAGGATTCCTGAGACTATACGTCCCAAGAACAAATTGGTAATGAAAGTTCAAACATGACTGGCAAAATTTTCCATGCATTTTTTAGGAATCATCTCGTATGTCGAAGGACATTTTTCACTATTCATCAAGTCAAAGCCCTCTTCTCCGGATGTACACAAAAATTTCTATACTACTTGAGTAATCTATCAGAAATTATAGAAATTGAATATTACTTGCCATTCCATAAAAAATAAACGAGTAAGCAGAGGACCATCAGTTTGGAATGTGTAACGCACAGTGTTTCAATGATTCTTCGCGAAGTGTAACCAATCCTTGATTACGGTGAGCAGCTGTACTTTGAAAGCTACTACTCAAACAGTCGATGGGATACCTCCGAGGAGCGGTCCAAATATGGGACACCTCCGGAGGGCGCTCTTAACCACTGAGGGGCGGGGCGAGGGGCGCTGTACTAGTGATGACGTCACATAGGAGCCAAAAACGAGTCCACCGAAGAAGTCGCGAATCTGTGCTCCGGGTGTCCCAAGATTTGGGACATCCCCGGAGAGCTTTAGGCGCGCAGCACCTCCGGAGTGCTGGTAGGTACGCAGCCAATCTATCGTTGCCTAGGGCGCAGCTCCCGCTAATTTCAAAAATGCGCTCTTTTTTGTTTTCATGCCCTTTCTAAGCTTTTTTAACCGTCTTTTTTCCATTTTCGTGTTTCTTCTGCGTTCTGCTCCTTCGTCGCTTTCCTTTCAACCTCGTTCTTTGTCAGGTAGAAAGTTGCGGATGCGATCTTCAAACCAACACCAGCTTCGATGAACACTGCACCAGCTTGGAGGAACACTGCTTCAAGGAAGGACTGCTATGTGCTCCAAGGAAGGAATTGAAAGGACAAGCGAGCATGCGATGCTTCAGCAGGACATTCCACATCAAGGAGTTGAACGTCGGCATATCCAAGGTATGGACGAATAGTTTAAAGGAATTTCCATACACTTTTGTTCACATGTCTTTTTATTTTCTGATTCATTTTTTCTCTCCTAGGAGTGGCTCTTGATTGTTGCACTTTTTAGAATTTTCTCTCCTTTCCTTCCTACTTCACTTCTCTCAAGTAGATAACCATCTCGAGTTCCTTCTAAGAACTTTGTGATCTGTCATCAAATTTTCGAGTCTTGCTGCAGTCCTCTATCTGATCATGCGCTCATTTGCTGCAAACTTACTAATAAAATTGTGACCCCGGCATTAGAGTCTCTCAGGCGTTCGAAAACGAGTTTTCTCTCTCCAAACTTTTCTATCGCAGCATTATTATGGTTAGTACTAGCGCAGTGTTCTGTATTTGATTTACAGGTAACTTTGTGACTCTTATCTGCTGTTTCCGCTTGGTTGATTGTGTGAAGAGGTGCGGATTTGCTCCGTGAAGCGAGCTAGGTTGCAAAAGTTGGATCTTGCACGGTGCCTCTCAAGGAAGTTGAAAATCCATCTACAAAAGGGGAGTTTATTGATGTAAATGTGCACTTGAATTTATATCTAGGCTGTATCTAGGCTTTCGTCGAATTTTGCAACTGTCTGTTTCACAAGCATTGCTCTGCACTCCTTGGAAAATGATTTCTTTTCAGCCCGGCCTTCGACTTCACTCAATATTTTCACTCTCTTCTAATTTTTCAAATGTTCATTTCTGCCTCATATCTTCTGTGTCTTTCCTAATTATTCCCATGTTTTGTTTGTTGTTATGCACCGACCGATTCCTTGTACGTGAGATTTTTTCTGTCTTCTCATTTAGATCTCTTTCAATATTTTTATCACTGCAAAGTAAGTGCTTCTTCTGTTATCATCGTGTTTTTTTATCTCATTTCCATTCATTACCAAACTTGTATTTGCTACTTTAATGGTACAAATAAATAGGTTTGTCTAGTAGTGTTCGCTTTTTGGATAAAAGTAGTTTAGAGTGGGGATTGAGTGTCTAGGGGTAGTTTGGGGCTAAAATAGAGCTTTCTAGATTAATTAGGGGTATCACAGTATGCCTTTCAGGCTAGCTAAAGTATGCCAGCGGCGAAACGCAAGGTTTCCGGAGCGAAATAGGGTTTTGGGAGACATACGGAGCACAAATATGGGAGGGCTCTGGAGAACGAGTGGCGAACCCTCGCTGAGGAGACCCCGGTCACCCCCATTGGCCCTCCGGAGGTATCCCATCGACTGTCTGAGTAGCTGGTTTTCTCGGTCCTGCCCGGGGTCACCCTTCCGGAGACATAACCACAATTTGTTTTTCCTCCTCGTCTTTCTCGTTCGGTTCAGCCATGTCCTCTGCCTCATTTCTGCAGTTTCAATATGCACTAGAAGCCACCCCCCCCCCTACTCTCCTGCATGAGCCTACTTCAAAGTTGTTTCGAGTAACTACCTCTTCTTCGTTTTGAAATGAAAATGAACTTTACTACATCGTTTACAGCAAAATGTGCAAGCGGTTTGGTAGAGGTATCGTCGAGTCATTTGTAACTTAATATGAGTAGTGCACACTATACACTCTAGCTGACGAACTGTGAAACTAGAACCTGCTTATTCCCAGTAATTTCTCCCCGTTTCCTTGTTTCTTTTGTTTTAGTTGATTAAATGTTGGTCAGTAGAACACAATTCTACATTTTATTAGGCTAGAAAATGTTTTACCGGGAACGTACTAGTATGAGTGTCGTCGCTAATAGGGCTTAGTGTGCAATCTCACATATTAAGTTACAAATGACTCGAGGTTACGAGTTGCTGAAAATTAATACATCGGTAAAAGGATTCAGCGAATTGCTCCGAATAGTAGCCTAATACCATCTATGTGGTCGAAAATATGTGTGCAGGATCTCAGCTCGATCGATTCACGCGCAAAGAAATCTTTGAAAAACCATACGGTCAAGATTTGCACGGACTTTGACTTTTATACCGGTGGTACCAGTGTATTCGCAATCTGAGATAATTAGAATTCCACTAGGACATGGCTCCGACAGTTCTCCTGATTTACTGATCAGAGGTGTCGATGCATTTACTTGTACGGACTGGACGTATTTGTTCTCCATGAGTTCGTTGAACAAAGAATTAGATATTTGAAAAACTATGCAGGAGATGATGGTTTACTTCTCCAAAACTAGCGTCATTGAATGTCCGGAAGTCAGAGCCTTTTCCCGTTCCGATCAATCATGTGCTTCATCGTTTTACTTTTGCAATTTCGTAGCTACAGATAAGCAAATCTCATCTATAGGGCATACCAGCCACCATCGGTCGTGGGTACCCACGGGATGAGGCTGCGAAAGCGCGACGCGGGCAGCGAAATTAGTACGCGAGCGTGAAAGCGCCGCTGTTTATGGCTAGGGTTAAATATCGTTTTTTTAGCTGATTTGTACATAACCTTCTCTTGCGTATCTGATGAACTTCATTTCGTGCTCAGTTGCATGTTGGAGTATCTTGTTTTCCGTATTTCACGTGAAATGAGAAGCATAAGCATACTAAAACTTCTTTTCTTTCAAATCGATGACGGATAAGGTAATTCGGCTTTCTGCAACTGTGACTTGAATTTGACACTTTGATTATATGCCAAATCTGAGATTAGGAGATTTCAAAACGTTGCTCACGTTGTTTAATAAACTTGTACTTGTTTCTCATCTAATTTTAGTAGTAAACCAACCAAATGGGGTAAAGAACAAGTAACATTTTCACATTATACTCAAGCGTGCTCGAGTCTCCTCAACTCGGAATAAATGATAATTTTCTGCTATGCATGAGCAAAATATGCGCTTCACCGTTCCTGCTTGAATATTTTCCATTCAAACAGCGCCACCTCTGAAATGTCTAGTAATCGATACAAGTACGGAATCTAATGCCTAACAAGAGAATACAAGGTAAACACGGAATGAATCAACGTCATGAGTCTAAGAATTAGGCTCGCTTTCCGCTCGAGTGCAATCTCCTTTGCTCGCGTCGCGCGCGCGCTGCCTCTTCCCCTGGGTACCCGTGACCGATGGTGGTTGTTATGCCCTATAATTTGGCAACTCGCTGCCATGTTCTTCTTCGTCACTATATTCTTCATTTCCCCATCATCCGCCAACTTCTTTAATCTTATATATAAAGCTGAATGTCTGTTTGTCTGTCTGTATGTCTGTCTGTATGTCTGTCTGTACGTATGTTCCAAATAGAAAATTCCATTTCTGAACCGATCCGGACCAAACTTGGCACACATACACTACGGGCCCCGGCGGGTGTCATAGGCTACTTTTCGTCATCGATCGATATCGATTTTATCGATTTTTTGCAAAATTTGAGCTACGGGGCTGGGAGTTGGCACAGGGGGGTAATCGAGCATGCTGATCACCCCCGTGGGGGTGATCAGCACGAAAAGTGGACTGTGACACCCGCCGGGGCCCGAAGTGTATGCGTGCCAAGTTTGGTCCGGATCGGTTAAGAAATGGAATTTTCTATTCGGAACATACGGCGGAGCCGGGTAAGCCAGCTAGTTTTCCTTATTTGTCAACATCATTATCATTGCCGGAGTCGTGCATAGCAGATGCTGCAGCGTGGATTCTTTTGAAGTGATATGAAAAATAATTGCTAGATTCATAAAGAAGCTCGTTGGCATCCGTTCCCTTGAAAATATTCTACTGGAACCTACTGATGGCATTAGCGTACAGGACTATGGAGTTTGGCAAAAAGCCAGTACATATAAAATTCGCGAAATCTCCTGTTAGTGGGCATCGGGTGACGCGGTGAGTCTTTGACTGTCGCGGTTGAACTTATTACAACGCTCTGAAAAAGGTGATACATCGCCGAAACGCGTAAGCATTTTCGATATTTTTTGTACCACCTTGGAGAAGCTTGAATAAAAACGAAAAGATCATGCTTTGTGTACTTGCTTCTGATGCTAGCCGCAGAATGAAAAGCATGGCGAGTGGGCAACCATAGAGCAAGAGACATCTGAAGCCACCAGTGGGCTCAGACCATTCAGAATTACGAACAAACTAAAGGCTCAGGTGTGGCATGAGTTTACATTTCCAGTCAAGACCCATCCAACGTGTAGTCGCCAAAACTGGCGATGGCCAATCGCTGCGACTGGTGATCGCAAATCGGATTAGCGATCAGTTTTCGGCGACTACACTTTGGTATGTATTGATTTGACGTGTGGTAACTTGTTTGCGATCAATAGATATGTAAAGTACAGTCGCCAACTTTAGCGGCTGGCGATCGCCAGTCGTGGCTATTGGCGGCCAGTCGTGGAGATTGGTGATCGCCCGTCGCCATACTATACTCCTCGAGGAGTATAGCGCCTGCTTAAGAAAAATGACTTTGAAGTAGGACCATACAAAGCAGGGAAAGGCTGCTTGTACGACTTCTCGCTCCATATGGTATTTTCATAGTAAAGGGTAGTTAAAACACTTGGGGATGACTAGATAGGGTAAAGAGGATGACTAGATGGTCTAAAATCAGATTTTTAGAGCTTCAGGATATGAAGGTTCTTCCTCGAGAAGATCAATCACCCATGCGGCCAGATAATTTTCCGAATTCTGCTATCGATGCAAATCTCATGTTCTTGGATTTGGATGAACGGCGCCTACAAGCTCTTTCTTGCCTTCTAAGATCGAACTTAACCTCCTAGCTAATTTCCCTCCTCCTTACTTAATGAGCTTTTGCCTAAAAAAATTTTTCACTGACTATGATATTGCAGTTGAATCTAGTGAGTGTTCTTCGTTGGTTCTTTTTTAAGGTCAAAAATGCGTCTATTCATTGGAAAGCTTGTATTGCTACACAAAGTTTTTACTGCAGTACTAGCAGAATGGTACGAAAGCGGAATGACATGCAGTCTCGTTGTTCTTTTCAGAAGTTCACGAATGTTTTGCACACTGGATCCACCTCGTCGCGTTGAAGGATGTAACAGTCCTCGCAGTAACAGTCCATATCCCCGCATGTATCTGGAGTTTCTCCTTCCTCCACTAGGAAGCATCTATTGTTTTTCTGTAAAGAATCCATGATTTGAAAGGCTTGGGCGCTTGAGTGAGTTCGATAAAATACAAAAAATTGAGTTAGAAGAAACTTAAGAGTTTATTTTTTCTGCGAACCGTTCCAAAGCAAGACATCATGTTAATAACAATGGGCACTATGTAACTGCAAACAACTAACTTTGTAATACATTATTGCAGAGCAATCCTTCTTTGCATAGCACGCAGCGAAGCAACGGTTCTTATCTGCATTAATATCCTGAACAGGACTATTCCCAATCATAAATTTGTTGACTTTTTCAAAGACGCAGCACGAAAGATATTCTGCCTGGAATAAACCAAGTGCCCTAAGCGCTCAATATAAGGTATTAATGAGCTTGTTTGAAAATCGAAATTTGACCTGGATGAAGAACAGGAGGAAGGCAAGCCACTTTGTCGCCATTGCAGCTGCCTGACACCGAACTCTACGGTCGAAACGTTTCAAATGCTCAACCGTGTGGTGGCCCCATGGATACCAGAAACAATGGACATTAGTAATACAATTTTGTTTCTAGGAGACTTTGTAAATGTCTTAAATTTTATGTAAGCTTCCTAAAAACAAATTTCCATTGTGTACTCGCAAGATTTGAATCTCACCTTTGAACCTGTAATGCCACCTGCGGATTCTAGAAGCGATTATGCTTTGATGAGACGGCATGTATCTATATATAATTATATAACTCAATTGTGAGTTTGGAGGCTATGTGCGTTATAGAAACGCGTGCCGCTCAACCGATTCAGCTGAAACTTTGCACACATATGTTTTTGACCCCTGCACAGATGATAGGCTACTTTTTGCGGCGATTCGTTGGGTCCTTCTATGGATTTATTGATTTGTTTACGTTTTTCTAAGGAATTGAAGGCTTATCATGTTCAATCAAGCATTTTCCCATAATCATGAAAGGATGGCGGTGAAGCTCATTTTCACCTCAGAATCACGAGGATGCGGTATGAAGGGAATGTCCAGGGTAAGTCATCCACAATAACAAGGGGGAGGGGCTTGCAGTGCAGGTGAACGGAACAAGGCCTGGGCTGGACCGGGTAAGCCAACTAGTATACAGATATTTCGCAAAACTACAAAACATCTAGGAGGCTCACCGCGCATCTTAAGCCCGCATGGAACTGTATGGCAGTTTAGGCTAATATTTTGTCAAATTGTGTTTCGCAAAGATTAGAGAGTTGTGTCAGAAGTGCTATAAAATCGAAAATTCCACTTTTATGCTGATATGAAGAGCAAAAAAGGAATTCATATATTGATTTAGGAAGCTGAAATAACTCTAATTCGCAACCTCGAAAGTATTGTTGAGCCATTGCCTCTAAGGTGCATATCAAACAAGGCGATTCTCTTGAATTTCGAAGCTCATATCTTTTCAAAATCGCAATCAAGGGGCAAAAAGCTCAAATTTTTTTAAAGACTAAATTGAATTTTGGAATTTTAATAGATATTCCAATTATTTACAAGTATAAGTATTATAACTACAAGTATATTTACAAGTATAAGCCAATTACATGGGTCATGAAAGCGTGCAAGTAGTAGTAACTTGCACGCTTTCATGACCCATGTAATTGGCTTTAGAAAATTCGCGACCCGTTTTCGGGGGAAAGGTGATTTTTTGCTAAGCTTATAGTTTTATACTTTTGCAGGAAACAAAGCGGATTGAACGCATATTTATACAATCGCTTTGCTAGCATTTCGCGCATTTCTTATCTTATCATACCTTCCGGTATACTTGGGACCGAATCGAATAATTATTCGATCATTCGAATAAATCATTCGAATGCGAATGATTCGAAAAGTCGAATATTCGAAAATTTGAGATTTCGAATAAAATTCGAAAGTCGAATACTCGTAATTTTCAGTTTTCGAATATATTCGATAGTCGAATATTCGAAAGTCTTCATTTTCGAATATTATTCGAAAGTCGAATATTCGAAAATCTTGAATTTCGAATATTATTCGATAGTCGAATATTCGAGGGTCATTCATTCGATCATTCGATGTCCATCAAATATTCGAATATTCGCCGAGCACCGAATATTCGGAAATTCGATAAAAATTGACTATTCGAAAATTCGATAAGCACCGAATATTCGCGAATTCGATATGCACAGCGTACACGGGATGTCTTAAAAGTATCTACACACTGTCTGATCGCTAATACCTCTCAAAGTCTTTTGCGGACTTCTGGGTAACATCCAGTAGGGATGGCTTCAGCTTATAAATACAGCAGAAAGCGAATCACCCATGTTTTTCTTATTGTGTGTTATCACAGTAGGAAACTCCAGCTTATAGACCAACTGCAAAATAAGACATCCAAAAAAATTGTTCTCAAAAAAGGTATAAAATCTGTGCAGCAGTGTTTTTACGTGCTGATTTTACTACGCACGAATTTTTAAGCTTTTCAAATGGCAATCACATTTTTGAAAGGCGTTGCAAAACACTTGTTACGGTGTATCGTTTGTTTCCGTGTTTTGGCCTTTCATAGGCAGTCTCAATGACGTAAATTATTCGGTCAGTATTCGAAAATCGAATGATATTCGAAAATCGAATAACATTCGAGAACCGAATAATATTCGAAATTCGAATAACGAATGACATTCGATATTCGAATATTATTCGATTCGAAATTTTCATTTTCGAATAATATTCGATAGTCGAGTATTCGAAATTTCCGATTTTCGAATATTATTCGAAAGTCAATATTCGAGATTTTCAATTTTCGAATAATATTCGATAGTCGAATATTCGAGAATTTTGATTTTCGAATATTATTCGATATTCGAATATTCGAAATTTTCAATTTTCGAATATATTCGATATTCGAATATTCGAAAAAAATTTCGAATTTCCCCAAGTATACCTTCCGGCAAGTGATTATCGAGTTTTGGTCTATGTTGCTGCTTGCTTGTACCATTTTCTACAACGTTCATATAGAAAGCGAATGATTGAACTTATTTTCTCCAGCTGCGAGCGTTTTTCTAGGTGTTCGCCTGGATTGATTTCTATGACTTTCTCTATACTGAAAGCGAAAGTTGTGTCGGATTACTTTGTTGACCGCCTCGTATCGAACTGCAGCACTATTAGGGTTAAGCGTAGGGTCACTCACTTCCGCTCCAAAACACCTCTATATCCGCCTCCTTCCTAACGTCTATAGTCGTCGTTTTAAAGACTGACTTTGTCTTGCGTCCAAATAAGCCATCACTGTCGTTTCAAAACAGGTGGTGAGCTTCTTGTATTTATCCAAAAAGCTCTGATCACGGCTTGACACTCGCAAAGAAATTTTTAAAATTTTTTCTCCTATAGATAAGATCGCTTTTCCGCTTGAATCAGCACAACTAACGATGGCAACAGTGCCAGCTGATTTCGTTGTGCAGACTTTGGATGTATCATCATTTTCTGAACAATTTTTTTCTTAAATTCTCACTACGATAGCATAACATCAAACTTTGTGTCACAATATGTTCACTCTGAATGAGCCATTTTATTGCCTCAAGGACAATTTTGATCGCAGAGCTGTATAAGAAGTATTGTAGAATGTTTTAGAGCATGGGAATGATCTAACAATTCCCCCTCTTAACTTGTTCCTAAAATACTAGGCACCTTTCAGATTTGCTGAAAAGCGCTCGAATTCCTTTTATCACTCTTTAAATATCTCCATCTTTCTTCATGCACCTTCCGCGCCAGCCTAAAAGCGCCAGGCTAGCGTGGAACGTGTGTGATGAGAGATGAGGGATGCATAAAAATCAAAGAATTTTGGACGCTTTTGGGATCTTTCGATTTGTTGTTGAACGGTGGCCAAGATTGGTATGGTGACAATTTATTACTTGGCTAACGTTTCGGCGCCAACGCCGTCTTCAGAGCTTGTAACAAAAAACGTATGTATATAGGGCCTACTGAGCCCTCGTTACCGTACGGTTCAACTGCGTTGAGCACGAGACCAGCAAAGAGCCAGAACATGCCTTACCTTATTTGACGTTAGTCGATGGATTTGACCGCTCGTGGTCAAGCTGTGCAGAATGTGATGGTACGTTTTTGTTCTCCATGCTGTTTATACTTTGGCTATCAAAACCGCAAAGGCTTTGATACGGTGATAATTCTTTAATTACGGTAATGCACTCGTCCTTTTTGTTCATTTTGGGGTTACGTGACGTCATCCAAATGCTTCGAGTGTCTTTCGTGATTTTGGGATCTTCCAAGTCTGGTAGATGCCTTAAGGCCGAATACCTCATGCGATTTAGCAATACTCCAATTGATCATGACCCACCGTAGGAAATTTCTGAATGTATGGAAGATAGGGCATTTTATCATCCCGCAAAAGTTATACGTGCTGTGCCTTTGGGCTCTACCGGTATTGAATTTGAAGACATCGGTGAAATTCCAGATCGCGTGGTGACTGAAATCGCGTGAGGTATCTTGGGGCCTAAGGATGTATCGGTTACATACGTTGCAGACAAGTATAATCGGTTCCAATCTCCTTTATTGTTCTTACATATTATTCGAAGTATAAATTTGCTACAGTGCACCTCCAAGCTGCGTTAGGCATCGTTCAGACCGCGCCGGTACGCGTCCAAACTCGCCCGAAATCGTCCAAATACGGCCGAATCCGCCTCCGAATTCTTCCGAACGCCTAAGACGCCGAAACCGCCAAAGCAGAAGATATTCATGCAAATTTGCATAAAACTCACCTAAAATCAACCAACATGAGACGAAATATCAGGACAGACGCAAAATCGATTGATCCTTGTAATATCCGAGCAGTTGCAAATGGAAATCGGTATACAGCGTCGACCTACGCGTGACTAAGATACTATATGCATCACGCGCAGTATTACGCGCGTGCTTCTATATGCCAAATTATTTATTTATTTATATGTTACGCATAAGGCGTGCCAAAACCGGAACAGACAAAGAAATAACTTCAAACACTACCAGAGAAGAGAAAGCAAGAAGAACAACCATCAAGCAGCTCAAGTCCAGCTCCCGAGGTGTAGAATGGAACTATTGAGCTTGTTTAAAGCATTTACGAATTCATCTCTTGGTGTACTCAATGGAGTCTGCCTCATGACCCCTGCTTGCACCCAAAGTGTCTTTGATGATTTAAATAGGTTTTCGTATGTGGAGGAAGCGGATGTATAGTGTATAGGCAAACCCCGCCCAACCAATTTCTGGGGAGAGGACAGAACTCCGCGACGAAATTTTGCATAATGTAAAAAGTTAAGGGGTTTGCACAGCTTTGGCAGTTCCGGCGTCTCAGGCGAGTTTGGGCGTTCGAACGGTTTCGGGCGGACTCGGGCGTACTCGGATTCGGGCGGATTTGGACGGGACCGGCGCGATCTAAACGATGCGTTACTGTGCGGCGGCGCCCAAAAAGTGTCGCCATCGCGCAACCGGATTAAGCAAAACATAGGGATTTTCTTCGCTTTGAAGCAATTTTCTTCATCGCTAATAATTTGATCCGCTCCCATTTATATGGGAGGGTAATAGAACCAAGAACGGGTGTGAACTTTAGACATGCTTCCTATGTTAAACTTAACACGTTGACGACGAGCCATTTCTTGAAGGTCTGTCCCTGTGGACGAACCGTTTCCCGGCACTTTCACAGCTGGCTGCATGTATGTATGCATGCATCTTTGCGTGAGATACAAAAATGCAGGTGGGCGGGGCGGCTCCGCCCACTTTTGGCAAGCCCCGCCCACTTTTCAAAAATGCTGGAAATCGCCCAAAATCAATGAATCCGTGCAAATTCCGGCATTTTTAAAAAGTGGGCGGGGCTTGAAACTCAGGGGGCGGAGCTTGCCACTTAGGGGGCGGAGCTTGCCTGAAGGTGTGCGGACCTGGTTGAAAGTTGTTTGAGGTGTTTGCGTTCATTTACGGCCTTATCCATGCTTTTTATGAACAAAAAGGGTCCCTGTGAGGGGTATAGAAGTGGGCGGAGTTTGCCAAAAAGGGGCGGGGCTAATACATGAGATACATCTGAGCCTATGTTGGTTATATGAACAAAAACTGAGAGGATTGGACAGATAGTATTGAAATTAAGGCCGCCGCGCACCATTGCGCGGCGTCGTCCACAGGGACAGACTGCCTGCCGCGCACCATTGCGCGGCACTGTCGTCAACGTGTTAAACTCATCTTTCTTGTTAGTGTTTATCATGTATCTACATAAATATATTACCTACTAATTTGCAGCTTTTGATTTCCCTTCACGGTTCAACTGATGCACATTCAATACTTTGATCTAGAATGGTTCAAGAAAAAACCTTCACAGCCACCGAAGTGTTGCGGATGACGTCTGCGTCCCCACAGTCAACACTTGTTAACGCCGCATTGCAAAGCAAGCATAGTTGGCTATTTTGCATAGGTGCAACGGTGTTATGCATAGCTTTGTATGTAATGGTCTTACCTTTTGTGAGTTTTGTGATAACAATCTTTGTGCTTCTGAAATGTCCCAGGAATCAACCCAACATTGTAGCTCTGGTTCGTATGGAAGCGTTGGCAACACTATAGAAGACGTCAGAGCCGAATGATTGACTTAGAAGCAGATGTACTGAAAAGATATCCAGTGGTGGCACTGTTGCAGAACTGAAGAATCAGTGCTGTGCAAAAAGGCGTTATGACTGTTTAGACAGAATCATTTAGTCAGCAGCATTTCTAAATAAATAATTTCATCGAAAGTATTCAATTCTCAAGCCTTTTTGGGGTATACATTGGTCAAACGCTCCGAAAGCATTGCATAAATTATGTTGTGCATCCCCCAGAGTTGTTCCCATATGAACCACCAACGCGGCTGCCTTTCGATCGTTTCAACACGTTATCCAGCAAATTTGAGGCGCTTATTCGAAGTTGACATGAAATGATGGAAAACAGCCACTTTGATGGTTCACATGGGAGCAATTCTAGCGGATGCATCATACATTCAGTCTAATAGATTTTCCGCTTGGTATGATGTGCGGTTTTAAACTGGGCGACCAAGCTGGAGAATAAATGTACTATTGAGTATCTCGACCCTTGGCCTAATATGGCATGGCAGAGTGGTGAAGGCCGAATTCGAGCCGAAGAGTAGACTATGCCAACAATAAGAAAGCTCGAACTTACAACGTAATGTTCAGAAATGGAAGTGACCAACCAAACCGCACACCGTTGGATGTAGCATAGAATGCTAAGTCCAATCCTGTCCTCTGCCAAACGCCCTTTTACGCAAAGTTATGAGCAGTTATATTGCGAAAAAGCATATAAAAATTGCGAAATTAAGCATGTCGTTGCCCTTTTATCTCATCTTTAGGTATGAAGCTGTAGCGTAGCTGCATGTTTTGTCCCAGCATTAGGCCGAACAGGGCTCTGTATGGCCAGATTTGCACTTTGCACGCACGATTTCTCAGCAAAATATCGACCTTTGATAACTTATAGCTTCGTCCACGAAGGTGTTTGGCAGAAAAGGAAAACAGATTTAGAGCCTACTAGCTGGCAAACCCGGCTCCGACCGGTCCTGTCAATAATATATTCGTAATCAGCATGCTCACTTACCCCTCCCCCTTACGTCAACTCCCAGTCCCGTAGCTCAAACGTTGTAAAAGATCGATAAAATCGATATCTGTTGACAAAGGAAAGTAACCCACAACACCTGCCCAGCCCCGAAGTCTTTGTGGGCAAAGTTTGATCCGAATCGGTTCAATGCAGTCTTCTATTTCAGAACATACGTACACACCAGTGGCGTACCGAGGGGGGTAATTTCGCGGCCCATTCTCGCCCTCCCCCGCCCCGAGAATGGGTTGCGAAATTTTTGAAAGTCACTTAAATGTGTTATAAAAATTTGCAGAGGACTTGTTTTTATTTGTAAATGATTAAACTAATTTTTAAAAATTTTAAAAAATTTAAATTAGCCTTGTAAAAATTTTTTTGAGGCGTGGACTCAGAATTTTGGTAAACATCCAAAAAAAAAATTTCGGACTGCGTGGCTGACGCCACGCACCTTCATTTACAAATGTTTTTGTCGTCCTCCCCCGGGCCGAAATCCTGGGAAAACCACTGGTACACACATATGGTTCATTTATAAAATCGTGACGACGGATTTTACCGCGGACTTTGCGTCCACAAAGGCATAAAAAGCTCATACAAGACGGCATCAGCTCATTCATTTCCATTGTCTAAATGTTATCCTACGTAAGCAATAAAACCATTCAACTGGGAATGAAAACCAAGAAAATGCAACTTCCGGAAGTGGCGTGCGTGTCGCGCGCGGTCGCGCCATCGTCACGATTTTTTAAATGTCGTATATATACAGGCACATAGACAAACAGACATTCAGCTTTATATAGAAGGATGGCATTTAGTGGTATTAGTGGAATTTTTCGTGTAGGTTCATAAAAAATCGGAAACTTGCAACAAAAATCTGAGCAATCGATATTGTAGGTTTTTTATCCGCTCTTTCTAACAGTGCAAAGTTTGCGCCGATTGAGAGTCTTTATGAAAAGTTATGATTTTCGAGCAAGCAATACAAAAGGGCGAATTTGATTTATTTTGGCTTTTTCAGGGAATTCATAACTTTCCACAGAGACGCTCAATCGGCGCAAACTTTGCACTGTTAGAATGAGCGGATAAAAGAACCTACAATATCGACTGCTCCGATTTTTGTTGCAAGTTTCCGATTTTTCATGAACCTACACGAAAAATTCAAATTTTGAGTAATTTTGGTTTTGAGCTTCTATCTCCTTCATTTGTACACATTAACGAACCTTTCGGGGACATAAGCGAAGAGCATGAGTTCCTTTCTCATACAAAATTTAGATCTTGCAGATTCGTTGCGAATTCAACAAGTTATGAATTTTTGAATTTGGTGCGAAAGAACTTTCGGGACGACCTAATATTTTATTTTGTGCACACGAAGTGCGCTACAACCAGCGAATGAAGGTAAGAGCGTCTATCAACGAACTCAATAATGAGGGTTAGTAACATCACCGTAAATGAGACACTGGTTCTAGCACCGAAATATGGTTTTTTTGAAGAAAAAAAAACAGCTGGAACTGAAGTAATGGTACTCCATGAGTTAAACTTGGATAAGAATTGCACACCAGTCGGCCAAGTGTGCGCTGGTGCGCCCTAACACCAGATGGCATGCCTGGAGTCTTCGGAATGACACATATACCGACTGACCCCCTGTCGAACCAGGCTTACCAGTAGAGTGAGACTCAGGGCATAAGCTTACGGACTGGAAATGGGGTACCTAACTACAGTAAGAGCTGGATAATGACCTAGAAATTGAAGACAGAGAAGAACAAAAAGAAAACTAACATAATTATAAGTAGGCAGACGGGTACTGTGCCCCGTGATTATCTCGTACTACAGCAATCACGAAATATCCTCTAAATTCAACATTCGCAGAAGATCATTTTTGAGTAAAACGTTTTAAGTTTAGTTGAATCGTTTTGGCATAAGATCTCGGCGGGCAAGCAGTTCAGCAGACGACAAGCACGACCAGCAAAGGAATACCGCAGCAGTTGTTTATGCCATCCCTTGCTCCTAAGAATGCAGATGTTCAACATAGCTCTTCGGTTTGAGACAGGGCCCGGCACGAGACCGTTTCTAGGGTTGTTAAAAACGAAGTCCCCCTTGACTTTCAAGGATTTTACGAAGTCCCCTTTGAACCTTGCCCTACCTCCCCCCCCCCTACCTCCACCGAGAAGCAAACAAAAGTATAAAGTATTTGAAAAATCGTGACGATGGCGCTACCGCGCGCGACATGCACGCACCTTCCGACAACCGCATTTTCTTGGTTTTCATCCCTTTTCAAATGGGTTTTCTGCTTACGTATAATATGTAGTATTTACACACTGGAAGTGACTGAGCTGAACGTTGAGGTGATGCCCTCTTGTATGAGCGTTCTATGCCTCTGTGGACGCAAAGTCCGCAGTAAATTCCGTCTCACGATGAATGAACACGGAAACATATATCTCACGAGAATAACTGTATTGATTGAAATTTGCAAATCAGTTTCAAAAGAACTAAAAATATTGCTTCAAAGAAAGGAAAACAAGAGACCATAAGGGAGATCAACGATGAAGAAAGAAAAAAATCTTTAGAGGTTTACGAGTATGGAGGTTGAGTATTGTACTGGCCAGGCGTCAGTATCAACCCAGGGGCTGGTGCAGGAACTTGCGAAAGTGGCATCTGGGAGGTGACAGCACTGATACCTACAGACTGCGCCACAGCAGGAAGAGCACGTCGGAGTATCTGAAGATAGGACATATGATGCAGCAACGATTAAACCTGGCATATGTTGTTAGAATATTTATTCGTCAAACCTGGTACTACTATTTTCTTTCTTCGGCATTGCTAGATTAGCCTACTTGATTAGAAACTGTTCGGCCCACCGAGTAGGCAGATCTTTCCGAACCAGCTCCTGTTGCTGAGTACTCGGCGCTGACGTGGACTGCGCAGGTAAGCTTGCAGCTCGGATAATAGATAAGTTATCTCAATAATAGCAGTTGACATAAGAAGATCAGAGACCAGCAATATATAGTAGAGACCAACAATATATAGTGGCACTCACCGGCATTAATTGCGGTATCAAACCGTTGCGGAAGATTTTCATACACCGCTGTTTGGGCTGCAAAGCGCTTACGCATGTACTCGCTCAACTGCTGCGCATTCTGAATCGTAACCGTGATATACACCAACTATGACATGTGACTCAGACAATTCACCTGCTTAGCATCAGGACCATTCAACATTTCCTGGAAACTAGGGATAGGGACACCAGCTAACGACAATGGATTCGGATTGGTGCCGAGTGCAGGTAGTGGGGCTTGCGGATCAAATGGATTGATCAGTGGCATATTTGACTGATACTGCATCAGGAATGGGGATGTCTATGTCAGCATTTCAAAAGCTTCCACTCGTGCTTTCATCTCTGCTGCATCATTTGCAAAACAAAGATTCTCTGTTTTGCAAATTTTATTTATTATTATTTAAATTAGTATTTGAAAGTATTGGTATTAGTATTAGTAATTAGTATTTAAAAGCTCAAAAATGAGCTTTTAAATACCAGCCGCACGCAAGTTGACAAATGAATCATGCTCAGAATGCAAATACAGTGCTGGCCAAAACTATACGTCCACCCTGAAAACTGCCGTAACTCATCTGCTTCTCAACGAATTGATCTGAAATTTGGTACAGCTGTGTGTTTAACAGGCTACCATCAGCACCTAGAACGGATCCCGTTTTTGTTTGTTTATTCAGGAAAAAATCAGAAATTTCGAAAAAAGCAGGCTTGAAGGTTGGCCAAAACTATACTTCCACTCAAGGTTTCTGTTCACTAAGGTAATTCTCCGCTTCCAAAATCTTTTGTGCATATACATAGTCAAAAGTCAAAACAGTCGTTTTAGTCCAGCTGTGTCATACTTTTATGAGAAACGCTTATCTGCTTTTTTCGCTTAAAAATACTTTCACCCGTATTTTATTCTCGAGAATGTGTTTTCATGGGTAATTTCGCAGTTTCTTGACTGGCTTGGAAGCGATAGGGCTCCATCTATCTTATAGATGCTTAGCGAAGTGAGAACTAGAAAAAAATTTGAGTTTTCATATTTAAAGGGCACCCAACATAGACCTAAGCGCAGGCCTGCGCTGAAATTTTTGCCTTCAAACTCCTCCTGCAGTGTCCTCATGAGCGTGAGGTAGAGTACTAACATTGTTGTACGTGTGAGAGTCCGAATGCAGTGGTTGCAGATTTCCGCAGGTCCTAGCATGCAGGCTAATTGAGGAAATTAACCTGCAAAAACTGATTTGCAAAAAGCCTTGAACTTATTTTTGGTTCTGACAGTAATGCTCACGTGAGTCACAAGGTAACATACAATACAGAGTGTTTTCTCTATCTAGCAACTAAATAGTGGCAAAAATAGGGAAAGATATCACTTGGTAAGTACTTTGGGACTGCCTAATTATTATCATTGAACCGCAAAGATTTATGCTTTGAAAACGAAGCAAAATGCGACTTGGCGAACAGTCGTGAGTATAGTGTACAAACTTCTTTTTATGTAAATAATCCTTCTACATCATGTAGAGCTTACAAAAATAACATAAACCAACTTTGAAGGCAAAAATTTGAGCGCAGGCTTGCTGTTAGGTCTATGTCGGGTGCACTTTAAATATGAAAACTCAAATTTTTTTTCTAGTCCTCACATCCCTAAGCATCTGTAAGATAGATGGAGCCCTATCGCTACCATGCCAGTCAAGAAACTGCGAAATTACCCATAAAAACACATTCTCGGGAACAAAATACCTGTGAAAGTATTTTTGAGCGAAAAAAAGCAGAATAGCGTTTCTTATAAAGGTATGACACAGCTGGACTAAAGCGACTGTTTTGACTTTTGACTATGTATATGCACAAAAGATTTTGGAAGCGGAGAATTACCTTAGTGGACAGAAACCTTAAGTGGAAGTATAGTTTTGGCCAACCTTCAACCGTTCTAGGTGCTGATGGTAGCCTGTTAAACACACAGCTATACCAAATTTCAGATCAATTCGTTGAGAAGCAGATAAGTTACGGCAGTTTTCAGGGTGGACGTATAGTTTTGGACAGCACTGTATGAGCTCCATCCTCTAAAAATGAGCTTTTGATCAAATACCAGCCTGCACACGGCATGTGCAAATTTCCACCACATATCTCGGTAGAACAAGTGCAAAAAATTTTTTCCGGGGCTCCGTCCCGGACCCCGCAAAAACGATATCCCCTTTGCTTTTTGCTCCAAAAACGAAGTCCAGCTTGCTTCCAGACGATCTGTGCCGGGCCCTGGTTTGAGAGGGACGGAAAGACCAAAAATTAGAGAAATTTGAACGCACCTCTTGTCGAAAAATTTTGTAAGTCAACAGAGTACCAGCTAAAACTCGTCTGTAGTATAAACTCTTCAAACCTAAAATAGCTAATCTAGTCTTGTAGTCAGGAAGCGCTTCTGGGTAGTTCTTGCCTGGTAATAGTCGATACTTTTTTAATTTTGGTAAATGTTCGTTGGACTTTTTTAACTTGACAATATGTTTTTCAAGGTGGGATTCCACACCGGACTGCAATACTCTAGATTGGGAAGGACATAGACCTCATATAACCTCACCCAGGTGGTTTTATCTGACGTATGTATATTCTTAAGCAAGGAGTAAATAACTCGTGAAGCCTTTGTAACCACGCTATCAATATGGGAAGAGAACTTGAAAGGGGATTCAAAGATAACACCCAAGTCACGAACAACACTCTGCGACTTCAAGTGCACTCCATAGTCAAATTCAAAAGAAGTTTCTCCGAATCTTATAGTTTGACTCTTATATAGGTTGACTTTCAATCCCCACTCTTCGCACCATTTTAGCATTTGATGAACAGATGAATTTATTTTGTTAGCTGATACTAGTTCATCATTTTTATCAAAAACAGCGTAATTTTTAAAACATCCGCGTGAGCTGCTGCACTGATCCGAATACTAGTTTTCAGCAAACTCGGGAGCTCCCTCGTATAGATGTTGAACAACAGGGGAGAGAGGACGCTTTCTTGGGGGCATACCCAAGGGGAGGAATCCTTCTAGTGAGCTTTGTCCTTGGAAGAGGATGGTAAAACTCCGGTCCATGAGGTATGATTCAACATGCGAAAAGATTACTTCTAATTCCTATATACTCAAGTTTGGCAAGGAGCATCCGGTGATCCACAGAATCGAATGCTTTGGAGAGATCAAAGTACACTACCTCAACTGACTTGCCATTACTCAAGGCGTCGACCCATTCTTGACAGCATTTTATTGACTGCGTTGTTATAGAAAAGTCAGGGATGAACCCATGCTGTTCCTAGGGAAGGTAGTTGCCTTTGAGGCACCAATTCAAGAGATATTTGGCAATAATTCTGCATTATTTTGCAAGGGATCGGCAAAATACTAATGCTAATGGGTCTGTATTCAATAACATTATTCTCGCCTGTGCGCTTGGGAATTGGAACAACCATGGCTTGTTTCCAAAGCTTTGGGACTTGCCACTCATCAAAGATATATAAAAATATGGGACAAAGGGACACTCAAAGATTTGGCAGATCTCTTATAGAAAAGGGCAGGAGTTTTTTCGAATGTGACAAATGTAGAAGCTTTGGTCGATCTCAAAAGCTTATGTACATCGCTGCTCGTGATCACCGGTATATAAAGATTATCAGAAGAAATCTCACTCAGAGAAGGGCATTCCAATTCAGCATCTGCAGAAGATATGCAAAATATTGGGATAAGGCATTGGCTTTATCATCAGCGGAAAAGAGAATGTTCACTTTTATCCATGAATGATGATAACATGATAACATTCTTGTTTTTCCAATACGATTTTTGAGAAAACTGAATAATTTTCGCATGTTAATGCTTTTTGCCATTTTGCGTTGTTCGTAATTCCAAAAACGGCGTGAATGACGATTTGGATTTTGACATACGACTTTGTATCGATCCAATTGGAGCGGATTATCTGTCTCACGAAATAGACGTTCCTTTTGCTGCAAAAGATTCTGAATTTGCTGAAGATGTTTAACCCTGACATCTCCATTTTTCTTGTAAGGAACTTAAGTCTCGATGAGATCATGCAAAACCGAGACAAATCTTCTATATAGATCATCAATATCAATATATTGGTCAAACAGTATGAACCAATCCAAAGTGAGAAGGAGCGCGTCAAAATGCACATGAGTACTAACATTCAAAAAAAAGCAGATGATTCGCCGTCACACTTCAGATCTAAAAAATGGAGTTTTGCCAATTTTGTACTAACCGCACGGAGGGCATTGAACTAAAGTCGACTGCACGAAATCGTCCGGATCGCTGTGGGCTGAACGCAACCGAGAGTGCCTGCAACCTGCGCAATGATCACTATGATGATTGTGATGAATAAACTGCATAAAAATGTCTATCATCAAAAACAATTCAATCTACAGTTACATCGCTACATAACATATTTTGTTGGTTTCATCATTTTTGCAAGATAAGCATTAACAATGTTTCTTCGTACCGAGTTAGCTGTCCATTGCAGATGGTCGAGCGACTTGCCAAGTTCAAAAAAATTATCTAGGTAAAATGAATCAAGTTTGGGTATGCCAGATCCTACAAAGATTACCCTTTGATGCCGAATAACATCTGTAGCGTTAAACCGCGTGGCTAAGTGCAGGAACTATCAAGATACTTCATAAGAGCTGACATGAAAGTACAATACTTCGCGACTTATTCGATGGATTTGAGAGCCATTTTTCTGTGAATATTTTTTACGAATACGAAACGGCTCCGCAACTTTGCTGTCAATGGATCCTCTGATTGTCCTCACTGTCGAATCTCGTTTCTAGACACCTGCTGCAACAATTTACAGTCTGCCTCAATCGAAATCAGACCGAACCGTCGGCTGAATTTGCGCGCTCGCAGCGCTAGGGGTTTGCGCTGCATACGCGCGATGTCGCAGAGAGCGAAGAGATTGAGGAGAGAGCAGACTACTCAGATAATCGTCGGGGGCAGGCGGTCCGCAAACTCGCGCTTTTCTGCAAGCGGTCAGCAGAATTTTGGGGCGTGGTCAAACCTTCAGCGGGTGGCACTTCCTTTACGGTCGAATATTCTGCCAGCGGGCAACAATACATCATTTTCTGCAAGCGCTCGGCAAATAATTTCTTTCAGCGAGCGCTGGCCAAACTTTCAGCAATCGCTCGGACTCTTTCTAAGCAGTTTTGGGAATACGCCGAGCACAGGTAAGACTCTGTGTGGCAGAGGTGTTACCGTTGGTTTAATTACTCAAGTTTGAGGTACTTTCTCTCAGCGGAAAGTACCTGGGGCTGCGCGGTCCTCAAAAATTTTGCCTATTCTCGCGGAAA